AGCGGACGGTCACGTTTCGAACATATACCACGTTCGATGACCAGTGCGTGGGTTGAGTCACTCTTAGAGAGAGAAAGATTGAATTTTATATACGCATGGAGATATTTTTGTTTTGTGTGGAGCATTGTTTTGTGCGCGATACGGATGATCGACGTTAAACGATTTTGATTCATTTTTGAACTCTTGATCGATCCCAGTGTTCATTGAACTGTGTTCAATGTTTGATCTCCTTCATCTTTAAAATTTCACCTTCAGTATGCGATCAAATACTTTTCTGAAATGTTGTTAAACTTCACTTCGGTTTTAGCAAGATAAGTCTCCTAATTTTGATTTTGTTAACGTTGTTTTGATCCGCTCGGTTCACTCAAATTAAAAATAAAAAATTTAAAAAAAAATCAAGTGAATCCCCGATATAGTGAACACGGTTTATAGTGAACTCCCGGATATAGTAAAAAAAAAAAAAAATGTTTGCCACCGTGCCTTGCTTCACACGTATCAGAGGTCTGTCCTAGCATTTTGTGAAAGGCCCCGTTTTCGTAAAATTGTGAAAAAACGACTCATAATTTGTGAATATAAAATAAGCGTTCCGTCACATTCTTTCAACCAGGGTTCTGCTTTTGTGAATTTGTGCAAATAGGGTCCTGTCATTGCAAACAGATAAATCATTGTAAATAGATATGTACAAGATTCTGCTCAACAATTGCTGCTACTAAATTAGAGATGCAACCTACAAATATTTGGTATTTAGCTTATATACTGCTGAACACTGAATATTCATTTTGGTCGAATAATGGAAACAAAATCACTCACATTTTTAATAATTTCAATTGACATATTTTAAATCACACAACTTAATTATGTATCACCTTTAATGTGTTACGCATTAAGTAAACTTAAACAATTCTTGAATTTATAATATTTTATTTTAAGAAATTGCCAGAAATTAATTTTTATTTATATAATATTCTATTAATTAATTTTATGAATAAATATAAATTGATCAATTATTTATTTACAAAAAAAAATTATCATTTAATATCAATAAGAATGTGCACCACGACGATTGTAAAAGTAGAAATATTTTCTTAGAAAACTACATTTGGAATACTAACTTAAGGAAACTTGGAAAACTTAGTTCGTTTCGAACCGTTTTCTTTTTTTCCCCGGGAAGGGTTTATTCAATTGACAAAACAATAATGAAGATAAACAAATTTGTGAAGGGTCCGATTAAGAGATAAATTATTTTGTAAAGGGTCCGTTAACGGACCCAAATTTCTTCTAAACAAACCCCTGCTCATAATCTTATTTTTTGTGGATATAGTGAACTAAAAAAAGGAGTTGTATATTATGAACTTTTTTCTGCCTTGGACTAATTTATTTTCTTCATTTTTTTTTGTTGAATAATTTTGAAATGTCCTCTTCAAAATAAATGCATATACACACCAATACACCAATTTTTAAAACCATGTATTGCGTGGAATGTAGCAATAAGCATTTTTTCTCGTTTGCTTCATTATTGAATAGCATTATCGAATTGGTTCAGCATTCAAAGAAGCCGCAATCTTCCAGTATCTGAACAAACGCTTCAAGTCAAAGCCGATGAATTTGCTAAGCGATTTGGTAATACTACTTTTATGAGATCGAATGGCTGGTTAGACAGGTTTAAAAAGCGGATAAATTCAGGAAAAATTATCGGAGAGTCGGGAAGTGTTTCCATATCTGATGTTGAGGATTGNTTTTTTTTTTTTTTTTTTTTGTGCGCAAGACGAAGAGAAATAAAAAATAAAACATTTTTTGCTACTACGTATTATTTTTCAGTCTTTTTTTTTTCTTCTTCATTTTATTGGACATTCATTTAAATAATGTGTAATAAAAGGACGAAGTTTGGAACCATTAGTTAAAATTTCTTGCGGAACGGATGTTGTGAATTCCCGGTTATAGTGAACCAAGATTTCGGTCCTTTGAAGGTTCATTATAGCGGGGTTTGACTGTATATAAAACGCTCATTTTATTAGCGCTCTTCACGTGGTGTTCGCCAACACATACACTCAGAGATCATCTCACAGAGCACTTCTCTAAGGACACATTCTCCATACTCGTATAGATGGCGCTTTAACAAACAATTTAAAAAATAATTCATGAATGATCAGTTGATTCGATTCTGACCACTTCAATTTTTATATTCTATTAGGGTGCGTAGCGTTTTTGAAAAGTGCTTATTTTTGATTTATGTTTTTTAAAAGCCCTTTGAGGTGCTTTTTTATTCGGGATTTGTAAAAAGTGCTTAATTTTCAATGCTTTAAAAAGATTTTTTTTTTTCTTGGCCGTGTATCGATTGTCGTTCTAAATGCAAGATTTTCACAATTTTCAGAAACTAGTTTTATCTTTTATCATGATTATGTAAATTTTCTGAAAATGTTTTTAAATTTCATTGATTTTATGTATATAAATTATGAACTTTAAAAGAGATAAATTATATTAATATATCAATTATGAAGAACGATAGAAAAGAACAATTTTTACTACTGCGCAGATCCTAATTATATTATTTTTATTTTTTGGAAAGTGATTAAAAATATTTTTTGAGTGCTTAAAAAGGTGCTTATTTTTTATTGACAAATCTGGTTACGCACCCTGGATAACAAATGAAGTGTTGATAAATATCCTTTTTTTTTTAAAAAAAAAAAAGAAAAGAAAAGAAAAATTTCTTTCTGTACAGTGCGACGAGCACCTAGAATACTTTTTGATCTAATGATCGAAACGATCGATATTTTAAATTACGGAATATACTTTCTCTGAATACACTTACCTTTTCCTCAACGCATTCGGATTCCTGAATCTCGAAATAGCCGCAATCTCTAAAATATGACCCCGATAGCTAGATCAGGAGAGTGGTTGAAAGATTGATAATGTTAACTCTACATTTTTTGTGTATTTTAAGAAAAAAAATTTATGCCAATTAAAAAAATTTTTTTACGCAATTATGAAATTCATTTATCCAGAATTCCTCCTTGGGAATAGAAAAGGTCTCTTACTTAAGTAAAAATGTATCAAAATGTGTAATATTATGTTATATCTGAAGTTTATTCTCAAAAACTCTTAAATTACCCTCTTGTTATACATTATGTTTATATTTCAAAAAGTAATTTTCTCTCATTATCAAAACATTAGGAAAAATTTGTAGTTTTTAAAAATATATAAAGGCATCAGGGGTCTGTCCAGACATTTTGTGAAAGGTCCGTTTTTCGTGAAATTGTGAAAAAATTACTCCCATTCTTTCAAACAGGGTCCGCTTTTATGAATTTGTGCAAATAAGGTCCCTTATTGCAAAAAAAAACTTTTTCAGGGAGTTTTTAAATTGTAGAGACATACAAGATTATGCTAAACACTGTAAAATTGTAATTAAAAAAATTAAATTTTAAAAAATAAACAACAANTTGGTTTTTTTTTTTTTTTTTTTTTTTTTTGGAAAAAAGTATAAAAGAAAAAAGATTAATTCATAAAGAACTTGAAGGCTTTTCTCTATAATTTAAACTGAAAATTATGAGAAAATAAACATAAACATTTAAAGATGCGTTTTTTTTTTTTTTTAACAAGAAAGGTATTTGTTTCAAAAAATATTTTTAAAATCACTTTTATAATATTCCCCGAGAAAAGTTTAATCGGTAACTACATTAATTTAACCAGTGAGTAATCCTAACGCAGTACATATTTGTAATATTAATCTGCATTAAACCTATCAACACAGATAATTTTACCATTTTGTAATTATTATTTAAACGATGAATTAATTTTTTAAAAAATAAAATATGAATAAAAAAAAGTTTTTTTAAGGGATGGCGACTTATTTTTACTAAAAGGGCAAAATATCAGTATTTATTGGGATCAAAGGGCAGGCAGTGAAGGCCGCCCTTAAGGAAACGCTTAGGGAGATCACTGATTCATCTTAAAGTATAATTCCATGCAAAATATATTTTTTTATTTATTACTTGTTATTTTTTTAATGTTTTTCATAATAGTCGAATTGTAAGGTTCACTAATTTTTACATCATTTTAAATATTTAAATTATTACATTTAAAAAAAATGTACTTTTTTTGTAGCAAAATACAAAATTAGAACAAAATCGCGCGAATTGTTCCTGAGTAATCAAATTTTTTAAAAAGTCGTCTGATTTCATATCTTAAAATATCGTTTTCACAAATTAATTAACATGGTGAAAGTCACACTCTTGAACTACTAAGATTGAGTCCTTACCGTACTTGAAAATCTGATCATAAGTCAGATATTCAGGCATGGTGCGTAGCGCTTTTAAAGATTTCGTTTCGCTTTTCGTTTTTCAAAAGTCCTTGAAGGTGCATTTTATATTGCGTGTTTTTAAAAAGTGCTTAATTTTTCCTTTTCGAAATTATTATTTTTCTTTCCATGTCGATTTTCGCCACCTATTAGCAAAAACGTGGTTTTCACACTGTCCTATTCAACGTTTTCACAATTCATTCAAACACAATGCATTTCGGAGTACCGTCTGTCCGCAGCGTATGGAAGCGCTAATCATTTTACATGTTTGATGAAATAGTTGCTGGACCGCATGTGCATCTACTAAACTGGGTTCTGTGAGATTATTGCACTCTCATGTGCAATTCTGCGGCATTTTGCAAGATATTCTACATTTCAGGCTTCATTTTTCCACCCTTTGAAATCGAAATGAAAAATCTCTCTATCTTTTTATGGTGGCCAATATAATCAAGAAAAGAATTCTTTGTCAGAAACCAGTTATTTTATTATTTTATCATGATCATGTAAAGTCTTTGAAAATTATTTAGCATTTTGTTAATGTATATAGTGCTTATTTTTTGTTGAAAGATTCGGCTACGCACCCTGTCAGGGTCATTTTTCGTTGCGCACTGTGCATCGATTTTTAAATATTTGTATCACGTTAATTATGTGTTTGAATGTTGATTGTTTTCAAGATATCTAATGAGCATTTTTTTTTCTTTTTCAGTGACGACGGGAGTTTTGGTGGAGTCGCCACCAACTCCTCAACTGTAATTAAAACCAGAAGCCGGTACCCCTGCTTACAACCCCCTCTCCCCCCTCCAAATGTGAAACATTCCAAATCTATTGAAAATTTCTTCAGCTTTTGAAAAGAATTCTTGCACATTGTCGCACAATCGGCTTCGGAAACTTGTGCACTTCAACACTCACACCCTTTCAACAAGTCATGTCTCACAGCACAACTCTGCACGGATTAATAAGGTGGCAGTCTATATTACCTGCCCTACAAGCCCCAGCTTATTTAGTGGCTGGTTGCCTACTAATACTAGGGGCTTTACAGCCACATTTCACATCGGCTGCTTGGCAGGATGAATATAGGCCTAGAGTACGCTCAAATGCACCACGTAAGTACAAATTCTCTTCTGTTTCTTGTATACAGGGTATCTGCGCACCTGGAAAGTCGTGAATTTCGGTATTGATCAAAAATGTTATGACTTTAACTATTTTTTTAAAAAAAAAAATCATGGATTTAGGTAGTTGAAAAATCTAATTTTTAAAATGGAATATCATCCCGCCCCCAATTTAATGGTGTTTCGAATATCTGAATTGGTAACAAAATCCCCACTCATAGTCATATTTTATTAAAATATAAAAAAAATTTTATCAGTTCTTTAAAAAAAATGTTGGTGTTCTTTCAAAAATGAAAGAAAAAACATCATTTCTAGAACGAATTATCTTTTAAACGGAATTTTTATTATTATTTTTTATTTTATCAATTTAAAATTCTAGCTGAAGCCAGCCAGTCATTGGCGAATTTTTTTCAATTCCGAAATGAGAAAAATCAGGAGTGTTTCTTTCCTTTCTCTTGAAAAAAAAATTATTTGCTTTTGTATTTTTTTCAGCTATTTTATTGCTTCTTTTTTACTCTGTTTTTTAAATTTAAAATCTATAAATATGAAGATGCGGTGTATAACAGTTTTGGTTATACCTATCATTTCAATTCATGTTATAATGCTTTCTTAAATTTATTGTTGGAGAAAATAGTAACTTCGTTAAGTCATGAAAAATTATTGTAATTAGTGATGAAAAGTCATGGATTTTTAAAATCTAAAATGTAGCAGATACCCTGTATGTACAATCGAACCCAGAATTAACGAATTCATAGGGACCGAAAATATTCGCTAAATATCGGGGGCAAAATAAAATCAAAATTGACTAACCTTGTGGAATATTCAAACATTTGTAATTAGCAAATACATAAAATAAATAGAAATGCTACACTTTTTATTCAGATTGAATGATTCGAATGTTTACGCGGTGATTAATTTGGAATTTTAAGGCTTAAAAGTTTGCTTATTTCCTTGATTTCTTACTTTAAAAAAGTTATTTTTCGATGTCATGAAGAGAAGAAATTTGCTGCATTAGGCGACGATTATAAAATAAAATTAAAAAAAAGAGTTTTAAGAAAATTTTAAAAAACTATATTGCATAACTGATGAGTTGTGCCAAATCTTATTACCGAATAATTCCTGTAAAAATTTCAGAATTAGAAAAAACCACATGGTCGAGAACACGATCAGAGAAAGAAGGGGATTGATGTTGGGATCGATGCGAGCAGATCGTTTTATTTATTTATTTCAATTGGAGTGACTTACAAGTCATGCGGTGCGGAAATTGTTTCATCCGAAATAAAGCGGCTTTATCTCGATTCGCAAACTGTCTAGTATGAGCCTATAATGTATTATCTCTATTTCCTTAAATTTATTTTAACTTTATGCGATATTTATATTATTGGCTTCTTTTTTAATGGCAGTCATTTTATTTTTTAATTTAAATCGTTTGGCTGTCATTTTATTTTTAATTTAAATCGTTTGGCTGTCACTTTATTTTTAATTTAAATCGTTTGGCTGTCATTTTATTTTTAATTTAAATCGTTTGGCTGTATTATACTTTGTTTTATTTTACATTTTTATTTATTCTTATACATATTTATTGCTTTTCTATTTTCGTATCGATCCATTTATTATAAACGATTCATTTTGTCATTCGATGCCAAAAGATAATTTCCCATTTTGTCCTTCCGAAGTTGAATTCCCTCTTTCAATAGCGACGGAAGATAGTTTTCTTTCACTCGTTGAACCGGTTTCAGAACCGCACGAGTGATTTTTTGCTCTTCTCATGAATGGGATGAGAGTAGTACTACTACGATGTTTTTAGAATCCTCCTCTTATTACATCACTAAACTCTGTCGTCTGAACAACATTCGATTTGACGCGAAACGAAATGGGTTCCGTGACTATTTACTTGAGAGTTCGTTTTAAGATCCATATCGTTAAACAGTAAATAAATATTTCATCTTCGCCAAATTATTAGACGCACTATAAAATTCTAATAAAATCTTAATTTATCAGGTGATACTATACAGCATTATTGTTTTGACGCGGCTGAAACCGGTTTGTTCTTGTTTATGTTCGTGTATCAATTGATTAACATTGTAATGCAATACGTTGAAAATAAATACAAATAATAAGTATGTAAAAAATCTCCTGAATAAAAACCCATTACATGTATGTTTAAATATAAAGGTATTGCATATAATTTCGTGTATTTATTGCAATATACTAACATAATACATGATATAATAAATATTCTATATTTATATAATATATCGTCTAATTAATTAGTCCAATCGTCGAATTTATATATCGTCTAATTTAACCAATTGATACACGAACGTAAGCAAGTGCAAACAGTCTTGTCAAAACAATAAAGCTGTATAGTATCACCTGATAATTAAGATTTTACATAGAATCTTACAGTGTATCTAATAATTTGGCCAGGGACGGTGTATAGATCGAAGACTCTAATTCAAGTCCTTGGTATAGCTCGTTCACCAGGAGTTGGCACTTGGCTCCGCCTTCATCACGTGGTATGTGACGATACTATTTCGCTATTTTTGGGAGAAGGTTGTGAGCAATCCTGAACAATGTTGCTATTTGGCGATCGTTTGGCAAAAATATTTATTTCGCAAACTTTATGTGCATTTTTTTAACAATGAATATTTCATAAATTTGATAATATTTTACACTATTTTTTATGATATTTCTTTTGAGTGAATAGTTTGTCCTTTATGAGACATTTCGCTGGGAGAACAACGGTTTCTAAATTTAAACTATATTTAATTAGCTAGTGTAACAAAAGGTATATTAGCAGATGATAAAGCAAAGTAAGTGAAAAAGAATTCACTTTCTGTGTTTGGCGCAAATTAAGGGTTGTCTCAATTTCAACAACGGAGATGTTTTTCCTCTTACTCCCCCGCGCTGAAATGAACTCTGCGACCGAGGAGGTGGAGCCAAGTCTCAACTCCTGGTGAACGAACTATACATGAAATGAAACTCAGAACACGAACTCTATCAAATTGCTGTATATAATTTATTTTGAATTTCATGTTTTGAAAATATCAATGATTTAAATTTATAAAGATATAATTTTTTTGAAATGGGTCATTAATAATTTTACTCAGGAAATATTCAGGATTTTTTAGTTGGGCTTACAATCACCCCTGAATAGGAGAAGAAAAAAAAATTTTAAAAATATTTCTCTTAAAAAAAATGTAAAAAATATTTCTCTTAAAAAAAAAAGTAGCGCATTTTTAAGATTTGTAGCTTTCGGAAAGACAATGAGTAGCCCAAAAAAGTAGCGGGTATCCCGAATTCGATTTTCAGTAGCGGGAACTTCAAATAGTACCCCAATCTGGCAACACTGGTCGAGGAGTTTGTATGACAACGTGAAAGTCGCACGAGAAACTAGTCGTGAGTTCTCCTCAAAGGTCATCGTTTGGTGGATTGACAAGAGTGTGAGTAGTGAGTGAATATCATTCATGAGACATTGCACATAAAACTGGTGACTACTCGCGGCATAAAGTCTAGGCACCAACTCACGAAACGAAATCACACCGTGACGCTCCATTAAACGAGTGAAGGCGCTCCGGGGCATGAGATCCCCCCCTCCGTCAATCCTTTTCCTTGACTTCGCCACTTGCACTCCGTTTCCGTGCTTCCGTCACGTTCGAGAGCATCCCCCCCCCCTTCTGACAATGTCCTTCGGGGCATTGAGCAATTATAGAAATGGAAGGATTTTGGATTAAGTGTTGGAGTCCCTTTCTTTTTTTTATATTTCTCGTCTGTTGCTTGGGCAATAAAATAGGGGGGAAAGGAGTGGCTAGGGGGTGGGTATCGATTTTTCTTTCTTTGGATTGATCTGAGATCTTGCCCCTTTGTAGGTGAGCCCTCAAAATTAAGTGAAACTCTTTAATTTGGTGTTTTCCTTTTGCAACCTTTTAAAAAAATATCCTCTTTTTTTTAAAAAAATGTAAAATTTATATGTATATATTTCAGGGTGCATGTAGCATTTTTAAAAAGTGCTTAAAGGTGCTATTTTCAATTTAAATTTTTTAAAAGCTCTTAAAAGTTCCTTTTTTATTATTCGCGGTTTTTTATAAATGCTTAATTTTCTTATCTTTATAAAAGAGATTTTTTCTTTGAACCCATTCGATTGCCCTTCTAAATTACAAAAAATGCATGATTTTCACAATTTTCTCTGCGATAGTTATAAGAAACTAAATTTTTTATCATGATTATGTAAAGTTTTTTTAATTTTATTGATTTTATGTGTCGATAAATGAAGAATTTTAAACGATGGGGGGAAAAAGTTTTATTACTGCGCAGATCCTAATTATGAATTTTTTTTTTTTTTTTTTTTTTTTTTTTTTTTTTTTNTTTTTTTTTTTTTGGAAAGTGATTAAAAATATTTTTCAGTGCTTAAAAGTTCTTAAAAGGTGCTTATTTTTTGTTAAAAAATCTGGCTACGCACCCTGTTTTGTATTATGTAAAAAAAAATTTATAATGACAGAAATTTTAAATAGTTAGCTTTTCTCGTAACTAAAAAAATATATATATCTTCGCTGTTATAATTGTAAACCGTATGTTAATGATTTAATAATATTTAACTTCGAAGTATTTATAAACATTCCAGAAATGATTCTTTCCTCCCTACCCCACCCTAAAGGCCATCCACGTATTTTTCTTCTGCGTTCCTGGCACGTATCAAAACTGTAGGGAATCTTGGAATAATCTCATCTTATGGAGAGGGCTTCTTTTTGTTCGGATGTGGGGCAGGGAGGGTGGGGGGACTCTAAAACGATTACCACATGTCCTCAGCATCTTATTTTGATGCTTCTATCGAATCGGCATGCGTCGTCTTCAACAATCTTTGGACGAACTCCAGAGCTCTGTCTGGGGAAAACGACAGCTTTTTTTTTCTTTCGTTCAAAATTAAAAAAAAAAATTCCTTGGCCTGGAATACAAAACAGTAACCCCTGGGATGGGAGAATATTTCTGTGTTC